AGCGGCTATTTGAGCGAAACAAAACGAAAATATATGAACGAAAATTCAAATCGTAGTTTAGTTTCGTTGGTTTTAGTTCGTGACAGGTTCCAGCGAATTTTTCGCAGCGACTAGTTCTATGATAGCAGAGATACAATACGAAAACTTAGCCCGTTCCTAGTGGAGTTCTCATTTAATTACCGTTTGTTTTCATATTCTTAGCTTAGTTTAGTTACGCTCGTAGTGGCCGCCTGCCTTTAAGGTGGGCGGCCACTGCGAGCGAAACTAAACTAAGCCAAGCGAAGATAAGATTTGTAAAAATCAGCTCCCATACTTTTAGATGCATCAACGGCCACTTGAGCGAAACTAAACGAAAATATATGAACGAAAATTCAAATCGTAGTTTAGTTTCGTTGGTTTTAGTTCGTGACAGGTTCCAGCGAATTTTTCGCAGCGACTAGTTCTATGATAGCAGAGATACAATACGAAAACTTAGCTGACTACTGAGCGAAAATCGTTCCTAGTGGAGTTCTCATTTAATTACCGTTTGTTTTCATATTCTTAGCTTAGTTTAGTTACGCTCGTAGTGGCCGCCTGCCTTTAAGGTGGGCGGCCACTGCGAGCCAAACTAAACTAAGCCAAACGAAGATAAGATTTATAAAATTCAGCTCCCATACTTTTAAAGGCAGGCGGCCACTGCGAGCGAAACTAAACTAAGCCAAGCGAAGATAAGATTTGTAAAAATCAGCTCCCATACTTTTAGATGCATCAACGGCCACTTGAGCGAAACTAAACGAAAATATATGAACGAAGATTCAAATCGTAGTTTAGTTTCGCTCGTTTTAGTTCGCGACAGGTTCCAGCGAATTTTTCGCAGCGATAAATTCTCTGATAGCAAAGACAATACGAAAACGCAGCTAACTTAGCTGACTACTAAGCAAAAAACGTTCCCAGTGGCCAGGGGCGGATACAGAAATTTATTTTAGGGGGGGGGCCAAAAAAAAGTAACGTAGAATATGCTTTTTAGGGGGCCATTTTTAACCTTAAAGGCTAATATTTAACCAAATTTACAAATTTTAGGGGCCCGGGCCTCAATGGGCCCCCCGTCTGTAACCGCCACTACCAGTGGCCGATGAAACTTATTTTCGTTTAGTTACCTTTCTTTTTATATTCTTAGTTTAATTTAGAGTCGCTCGCAGTGGCCACCTGCCATTAGCGAATGTTTGTGTTACAAAACGTTACATTACAGAGCTCGTCTCAAGTCAATCTCCGCCTAAATAACATCATCATATAATTTTTTCCAGAAATATAGGTACATAGTACATCAAAATAACGTAGTTTAAATACCGTATGTGTCACTATTTGAAGTACTACCACATCTCTCTACTAACAGTCGTATGTATTGGACGTGTGTGCGTGTTTTAGCGTCTCCCTGCAACGGCAACACGACACCGCGGAACGATGCGCTGTCGAAATTCAATATTTCCTCAAATAACTATCTAGTCGGCTGTCGCCCGTTGTTTTTTTCTTTGTTGTCATGGGAAAGTGAAGAAAGTCTACTTGAGGTCGACGAAATTTCGACGTTTAATCAAATAATTTATATTATTATCGAGCTTTATCAGCAATCAACATACCTACATGTAGCTAGATAGAAATAATGCCTACACGTTTATTTTAACCAAAATTCATATCGATGTCGAGCAAGAAGTCGTATTAGAATTCTAGGTGCAGTTAGGTTCAAAATACAGGGATGAAATACATGGAAGGAAATACTAAATCCCGTTAAAAACATAAAATGTAAAAAATTCCAAGCCTCGCAAAGTAGTTCTTTTCCCCAATACAAAAAGTTCTGAGATCTTTTACATTCATAAAAGAAACATTTATAGTGACCGTATCAATACTAGACATCTTTACTTAAATAACAATTATAATGGAACTTTTTTTTAAATAATTATAATGGAACATTTAATTCCTTTTAAACCACTATTAGACAAATGCCAAAGAACGAGAGAAATTTTCAAAAAATTATTTAATGCAAAAATCCTATTATACCTTCGATGCATTTTTAGTGATCCTAAAAAAACATGTATACAGGGTTGTTCACCACATACGACACGGAGTATTGTAGCTAAACGATTAGATTTTTATAAATTGTAAGTTTTGGGTTCGTTGAAGGACTATTAAAGAGTGTCCCAAATAAGTAAAAAATATTAAGTATAGTTGTATTTTTTTAAATAGAACAGCCTGTATATTATTCTATTTTTGGATTCTACCTTTGATTCTACGATTGAAATAAAGGTAAATTTGATTAAGGTTTATCACACTTAAACTTTACCGTTTTTGAAATATTTTCAATTTTATGAAATTGCAGAAAAAAATTTAAGGCTTTATTTCTCCAAGGGCATCAAAGTTTTTAATACTAAATATTTACTGAAGATTATTTATTGGTCATATATTGTGTTGCAATAATAAAAATTTTACTACCTGATACAGAGTGTCCAAATTTTTTTATTAAATAATTACTAGCTTTAAACGGCAATAACTTGTTTAATTTAAATTGAACACCCTATATATTTTACATGAATCAGATGCATAATGTAATTGTCTATCAAATTGTATTGTTCCATTTTTACCCATCTCTTCAAGTTTTCATAGAAGATGCATTTTCTTATATTTAGACCTCATTTATCACTATACCCATGGAATATTGACATTTTAGCTTATTTTTAAAGATGTAACAAATTTTTAAAGGGTACATATACTAATATTGTTGATATAGTTCGCTTATTTAATTAAAAAAATAAAAAAAAAACTGTTTTAATATTTTTTGTTAAAGAGGACCAATTAATATGATCCCAGTATTCAAACTACATTAATTGACTGTTTACGTTGTAGTAATAATTGTTCCAAATACTAAAAAACTGAATTTTGTGTGTGTATTAGATAGTGTGGTAAAAAGTAACACCTTATAAATTTTATTTCATTTATTGACGAATGCTTATTTATAAAAACAGAGACATTCATTTTCATAACTTATTATTATATTGATTTCTGAGCCAAATCCACATTTATTTAGAATAATTTATTAATTAAAACAATTTAAAAGTATGTAATTAACTAATTTTTGGTGTTTTTGGTAGGAAATAATGGTGGTATATTTAATTGGTATACTCTTTTACAAACATTTAAATAGTTTTTTTGTATGCCAATGGGCATGCAATATTTACCACCTGTACATTTTGTACATATTATGGTGGTATAAAAAAAATCTGAAATGTCAATATTCCATGGGTATGGTGATAAATGAGGTCTAAATTATAACAAAATGCAATTTCTACGAAAACTTGAAGAGATGGGTAAAAAATGGTATAATACAATTTGATAGACAATTACATTGTGCATCTGATTCACGTAAAATATATTGGGTGTTCCATTTAAATGAAACAAATTATTGCCGTTTAAAGCTAGTAATTATTTAATATAAATTTTTGGACACTCTGTATAAGGTAGTAAAATTTTTATTATTGCAACACAATATCTGATCAATAAATAATCTTCAGTAAATATTTAGTATTAAAAACTTTGATACCCTAGGAGAAATAAAGCCTTAAAATTTTTACTGAAATTTCATAAAATTGAAAATATTTCAAAAACGGTAAGGTTTAAGTGTGATAAACCTTAATAAAATTTACCTTTATTTCAATCGTAGAATCCAAAAATAGAATAATATACCATATTGTAGTTAGGTGGGTGTTCCATTTAAAAAAATACAACTATAATATTTTTTACTTATTTGGGACACTCTGTATCTTGTAAAAATATTTTTAAATTGTAGCTCTAATAGGCCTTCAACAAACCCAAAACTTACAATTTGTAAAAATCTAATCGTTTAGCTAAATACTCCGTGTCGTATGTGGTGAACAACCCTGTATAGTGATCATGTCCACCCTAAATCATATTATTTTTAATTACTATCTTGTAAAACTTGGAAAATAAGTTGGTTATAATAATGGTTTTATAATTCGGAAACTCTATTTATTTATCTAGTAATGCTAAAACACTCTATTTGAAAGTCGATTAGAGAAAATAGTATGATTCGAATAATATTTGAATTAGATGGAAGATATGGAATGTGATATATTGAATAGAATGTCAGTGATGTAAGTGGTTAGGGGGTGGAGTACCCCCGGGTGAGTCTTACTATTTAACTATCAATTTTATCCAGATCAGTAAATGTTTGTTTTGTTATTTTCATGTACAATGAGAGAGTGCTTGCCAATGACCAACTAAATGGATATTTGAGGTGAATTTGCATTGTGAGACCCGGTTGAGTAAGCCCCAGATATAAGCGATTTTACAATCTATCAATTGGATTGACATTCTAAATTATAACTATGTTTATATTTAATAGAAAACAAATTTCTTGCAGTAGAGGTATATAATAAAATTATATAAGGATTCTTGCCACTTAACTCCTACCTTGCCACCTAACTCCTTAACTTCCCAAGCTCACCTGATGATGGAGTAGGGCTCCGAAACCGGTAGTGAGAGCAGGTTGATCCGCATTATGACAAACACAGCGTAGAATTAAATTTCTATATTAGCAGTTAAGTGGCAAGAATCCTTATATAATTTTATTATATACCTCTACTGCAAGAAATTTGTTTTCTATTTTATAATTTGGCTTGCCTGAAAAAAAGCCTTTTACCATCCTTTTACTATCGATAGTTGCGCCTCGGTGGTACGAAAGTACTACCATTGCACGCAGGCCACTATCTCCCGTTCGGGACTTAATATCTGACCGATACTTTCCGACAAGTCGGAATTAACTATCTCTGCGCTGTGGTTGTCATTTTGTGGATCTCCCAAGCTCACCTGATGATGGAGTAGGGCTCCGAAACCGGTAGTGAGAGCAGGTTGATCCGCATTATGACAAACACAGCGTAGAAATAAATTTCTATATTAGCAGTTAAGTGGCAAGAATCCTTATATAATTTTATTTATATTTAATTAATACATACCCGTTGTTCACATGCCAAAATAAATCCACGCCCCGCAGAGAAGTATCCTTTTTGTTTTAGCTTCAAAAGGCAACCAATAGAAGATCTGCAAAAGAAAGAAAAATTAATTAAAATTTTTAATCATATTGACTAACTAATTTGCAACTCTATACCAATAATCGAAATAAGCAAACTGACATTTATGGTTTAGCTAGAAATAATCGACAACATCAAAAAATATAACAATTAGATGTTTTTTCGGTCTTTTTTTCCTATTGGTCTGACCGGAACGTCAGCAATGTTAATAGGCGTATCTGTGTTTTAAAAAAAACTAGCTACATTTAAATATTTTGAATACCGTATGATCGATAATATCTAGGTAGGTCTAGAATAACGTCAATTGCTGCTGTTGGGCAGGTTCTCATAGCTCCTGTGATGCATATCTGTCTCTACATTTTGCACAAATCTACAACCTTGCTGTACGTTGCTCTAGTTTTGTGTACCAAGCTACTGCTCCATAAGTAATCATGGGTCTTACTGTCATAGCATACATAACACATAGCAATGGCAAATTTGTCTTTCATTCATGTCTATGGATTATTAATGTGGTACGAAATTAACATTGGAATGAATGTAATTAATATTTTGACTCATATTTTCATTTAAACTACAAATATTGTAGCGTTTTTTTATAAAACATAACCACTGCGAACGGCAGCTTTTCATCGAAGAGCAGTCGTGGATAAGGTATTTCACTAGAGAGAAAACCAATCAATAACAATAAACAAAAAAATACAGATATTGGGCGCCAGCCATGTACAGAGAAAGAAAACACAGTTGTATATTACTTAAAACTAATGACTATATTTCATGATGTTCTTTGCTGGTACATGACATTGTAGAAAGTAATACCATTACAAGACGTAATGTAATGAAACTTAAGATCTAAATCATATTTTAAATATTAAATCGACATGAATGTTCTTAACAATCTAACCACTAAACATAGTCTGTACGATATTACTTAAGATGTACGTAAAATTACGCCAAGCGTGCCAAATAAATTATCAGGCCTGAACGATACGGAATCCGATGACGATACGCCAGACATCATATATATCATATATAAAAAAAGACATGTAACGAACTAAAAACGTTACAATATATAACATATTGCCAAAGTAAATTTAAATAATATTTCGATACGATAAATATAAACTGTATTTCTGGTCACTCATACCAAAGTTTACGATATTTAGTTCAAGTACACAGATCTTTCAACAACAACACGTTAACACAGACGGTATTGGTAATTTATTGGCATTTAAAACACTCAAAATAAGATCGGATTGAAAAATCGACTAAATATAGAAAAAGTTATTTTTTGATTTAATACCCTTATCGTTTCGCTAATTAATTAAATGTAGTAATGAAACAATTTCGTTTTTGCTTAATCGCAACAATTTCTAAAACACTTTGTGATATTTTTGTGTACATGCTAATTGCTTATCAGTTCTGGTCAACGGTGCCGATAAAATTACTATGCTGAGATCTACAATTTATTTTGTTTGTGATGTAAAAATATTATTATTGTAAAATCTTGAACTTTTGGTTGGTGTGTTGTCGATAAGCCACGTCTGGAATTATTTTATCGAATTATGTTATAGTTATAGTCTTGTTATTAACTTCAGTTAGATAACGATGGATGTATTATACAGAAGGACAGAAGGCTGTACTTAAACTGTCGTTAAACGGTAGCGCTTACTAAAATGCCGTTAATAGGTATGACGTCCTTGATGTGACGCACTTGACGGCTTTATGAAATATAGGAATTTTATAATGACTAACCAACGCTATCCACCCCACCAAATAACCAACTTAACCAACGCAACTAACCTCGACACTGATAAAAAAATATAAAAAACAAATATAAATTAGTAAAAACCAATCAACCCCACCAAATAACCAACTAACCAATGAATTAACACCCTCCAAATAACCACGCTAACAAACCCGCCAAATAACTAAACCCATCCAACCAAAAAGAGTGAAACCAATGCAATAAGATCACGCTATAAGCAAAAAATATATAAAAAAGTCTTGGTCGGCGTGAGGTTTGAACCACGAACCATTCGCTCACGAAGCGATAGCCTCAGTCACGGAGCCACAGGCGCTCTTGCGAAATGCTTATAGCCCAGGCATTACTTTCCGCCGACATGAATGACGTCACAATATCTATTAACGGCATTTTAGTAGGCTACCGTTTAACGGCTGTTTAAGTACATCGTATAGAGAATGTTGTATCAAGTTATAAGGCTATATGTATATGTAGGTGTAAAATTTCTGGAAAAAAAGTATGTGTATTTATTTATCTCCTCAAAAATACAGGAAATCCTAGATGCAATTCACGGCTGGTGCACACTAGAACAATTATGTAAACCCAGAGAAAACAGTGATCATACCATTCACCAGAAGAAGGAAAATAGACAAACTGAAACCGCCTATTCTTCTTGGTGAGACAATTCCTTTTGCGGAGGAGGTTAAGTATCTAGGATTAAACTTGGACAAAAAACTTAGCTGGACTTCTCATATGGAAAAAAAACATCAAAAAAGGCTTGCTATGCTTTATGGGCACGCCGCCGAATTTGTGGTAGAAACTGGGGATTAAACCAGTTGCCTGGTGGCAGAAAGCCAACCAAACAACGGCAAAGAATAAATTGTCGAAACTACAACGACAACCATGCTTAGCGGTGACTGGTGCCTTCCGTTCCACGCCGTCAAAAGCTATGAAAACCCCACTCGACTTACCTCCTCTTCAAATTCTTTTGGAAAGAGAGGCGAGATGGGCTACATATAGGTTTCTAAATATGGCACGAGGAAGCCAAGGAACAATCATGTTCATACAAAACCGAATAGTAGACGAACTACAGTCGGATGAGATTCTGGGAATGGTTTCAGATCTCACACTACCAGTCCAACTCTTGACACGCACCTACAACGTCCTGTTTCCGAATAGGGACGAATGGGATAAACCGGGAAACGGTTTATTACATGCGGAAATGTGTTGGTACACGGACGGATCCAAAAACGAAAAAGGATCTGGCGCAGGAATTTACTGCAGCAGTCCAAAGACTGAGATCTATCACAGTCTTGGAAAACACACCACAATTTTCCAAGCTGAGCTATATGCTATTGAAACCTGTGTGCAAATGCTGGTAGAACGGCAATACACCGGGAAAACAATATGCATATTTTCGGATAGTCAAGCCGCGTTGAAAGCACTTGAGGCAACGAAAAGCACGTATATGACAATTCTTCATTGTAAGAAACTACTCAATATATTAGGAGATAGGAACAAAGTGTCGCTAATATGGATACCGGGACATGTGTGTCTAGAGGGGAATGAACGAGCTGATTCCCTCGCCAAAATTGGCACAGGTTCGCCATTCGTGGGCCGAAAACCGACACTTAGCGTTCCAAAAAATCTCGCAAGAGACAGACTGTGTGAATGGGTTAGGGGTGTGACGTTCCGGGACTGGAATGACAGTCCAGGAACGGAACATGCCGAGAAAATCCTAGCAGGGCCATCCAAACATAGAACAGGAGAACTTCTAAAGACTGGTAGGAGTGTGTGTGGAGCGCGTACACTCACTGCAGTGTACACGGGCCACTGCCGGCTGAGATCACACCTACAGAGGATGGGACTGGTGGAAGACGCCGAATGCCGACTCTGTATGGAAGATAATGAAACAATGAAGCACGTTATGTGTACCTGCCCCACTGTGGGCAGGACCAGGTTTGAGATGTTTGGCAAACCCATGCTATACCTATCAGACCTAGAAGACAGGTCACCCTCGGACATAACGGCCTATGTTAAAAGGCTGGGTCTTGAGGGTGAACTTTAACGCTCTTTGTATATTAAAGAGCTTGTAGAAACTGAGCCACAATAGGCCCTCGCGGCCGCAGTGGAGGGTCCCATGGGACCCACTTTGATTAATCGTGATGTAAATTTTTTTTCTAATTTGTAGAGTGATGAACCACCCCAAAAAATACCAAGGAGTGAAGAAGCAGAAATAACTACTATCGAGGAAAATAATATCACTTTACTTACTACAGACCAGGAAAACCTAAATTTATCAGAAAATAATATACCTCGTAAGATACCTGTATATGATGTATAGACTTCTCTTAGATCAAAATAAATTTTAGTTGAGTCAATAGTATTCGTTATTGGTTTAAGAAAAGTGTCTCTTTAATCAAGAAATGGGGGTCTCTTTTCAATCAAGAATTTTTGCATGAATCAAAGAGACTATTGTTCTTGTAGCAAGAACTTCTTTGCATATTCATTTTGGGCCAAGAGTGAAATACTTTGGACAGATAGATTCTTCTATTCTCTAAAGTAATTTTTTAAAGCTTATGAAAAGATATAGTTAATGCTTTGGGCAAAGAAACGTCGTTCTTGGCCCTATTGAAAAGCGCCAATCTTTTGGGTCAAAGTCAAAGTCATATTCATTGCGACTGCAAGATCCTTTTTTTCAGTGTATTTATAGAAAAATCAGCCATACAAATTTAAGTTAAGTAACTCTTAATTTTAGTTACCTTTGAATCTTTCTCACCCTGTATTCACCCACAGGGCGAACTCCCCAAACACGCCGGTATTCAAAGCACATGAGAGCACTCCTGAGAGCCTAAGGTTTCATTCTTGTGAAAATAAGTTATGTCAGATCGCTCTGGGATCTTGGACTATTGAAAGATTTACTTATTGACCTGCTGATATTAATTTGAGATTTAAAGATATACTATACTATCTCAGAAAAAAAGAGGATAAACTACAAAAAGAAATGAGATCTCAACAAAACACTAAATATAAATAAATGGCAAGTCTCGCAATGCAGTTCTCCACTACAACAAGTTGTGAGTGAATACATATATTGATACAATCACTATAAATATTGATAGGTAATTGTTATTAGATAATAATCTATATCAAAGTAGTTGAATAACTGCTTCCATAGACACTATTTAAAATAACTGACTTAGTTTTGCATGAGATCTCACAACTCTTTTTAGTGAAAAAACTGCGTTGCGAGACTTGGTATTTTTATG